TAAACTTGCTCATTTTCTTGTTTCAGCGATCAAGACGACTATGAGGTTGTTAGGAAAGTGGGCAGGGGAAAGTACAGTGAGGTCTTTGAAGGTATAAACATCACGAACAACGAAAAGTGCATCATCAAAATTCTCAAACCGGTCAAAAAGAAGAAGGTAAATTTCATTATTTTAACCAAAACAAGTATTGCAAGTTGCATGATTCCTACGGTACTTTAAATTTGGACTGTGATGCATGGAAAATGAAATGTTTAGAGAGATGTTGGGGCACCAAGATAGAATCTCATATTCTCTTAATAGATGTTCCTGTGTAAAAACAAGTGGTTAAGCATGGAGATCTTTTTCGATAAAGACTTCAATTTTGGTGTCATTTAATTTAATTTTTCATTTTAATGTTTTTGGTGTTTCTACGTTGAAATTAATATTGTGAATTTGTTTCTAACTTCCTTTTCGTTCATTTGTTTTTTTTCTTTGGAGCTTTCAAGTTTTCTTGCCTTTGTCTTGTATGAGAAAAAGGAAGAAGAGATAGATAAATTGGTCCTGAAATCCTCTCACTTGGTTACAAATTGAAGTCATGTAATTTTGGAAAAACTTCCGACTTGAAGAAACTGAAATAATTGTTAAAATTGACATGAAGAGATGTTCCTATTCATCACTTGCTTGAGACTGATTTGCGCTTTCAAATTCTTCCTACTGTACGCATTGGTGCTTCGTCTTTTCTTCTGGAATTGAAAGATAACTGCTGAACTATTGGTAAATTTTCTATCTCGAGTGCACATCTAGAACTAGGTGCAGCTGTGTACGCTGATCATTCCCTGCCGTTTTTAGGGGGAACATATTCTTTCTGTTATTTTCAGGGTACTACTCACCCTGGGACTTTTCATACTTTGCAATTGTTTTACGGCATTCCCAGCCTAAAAGAATGTCAATTTTGTGTTCATTCAATCACAACATATTTTCTGAAGGTTTTTCTTTCACACAAAAAGCTAAGTCAACTTCTCTCTACTGTAAAAAGTAGGAGAAAGAAAGAACGGTATAAAATCTACTAAATGATTCGTTAGCCGAAATTGTATTCTAGATGACACATCCGAAATTGTATTCTAGAAAACAAAGGAAATAAAATTAGGAGTTCACAATTTTCATTCCCTTCCATTTTCTAATTTGTCCTCACAAGCTTTTCTTGATTCTTGAAATTGTAGTCAATTAAAATTTCGCCAGTGGTTGAGATTATCTGTTGCATCTTAACTTCAATCATCTTCTTTTGTTTCCATCACAAACTTTGATACGACATTTTCTAGTTTCAACTGATGATTCCAGAGGATCAAGGATTAACTTTACAAAAATTTGAACTTCACATTCTACTGTAAATAATATTCATAAGACCATGCCATATTTTAATATCTATAAGTTGTTGGTATCTGTCAAATTGTAGGAAATTATGAATCTTTACAAAACATATAAATAAATGAGCAATTTGAGGAACGAGTTTGTTTATGTTCAGTTTTTTGTCAAGGCATTGCTTATTTATCTCTTTATAAAAGTTGCAGTGAAAAATGTATGAATTTGACCCCCATCATTTTCTATCTCCAGCTTTAACTTTGAGAAGAATTGTGCTTTACTGTTGGGGCCTAGCATATCCCTTTGGGTTCATCCCCATAGGTGTGATTTGTTTGACGATGGGTATCTTTTGTCTAAAACTGATGTTAGATTCATCCATATTACTTTAAGCAAGTTTTAAATGTTAACATTGTAGCATGTTTTGACAGATAATTTGTAAGCAAGCTCATTTTCTTTACTTTTTTAGTTATTGGCATTTTAAATATTGGCAGTTTAAATAGTGTAATTTAAAGGTTATTGTTCGATTCGAATTCTAACGGTTATCGTGCAACGTACGATGCACACTAGTTCTAGAATAAGAGGAGTGTCTCTTGCCCACTTGATATATACTTGCAGTGAAATACAATTCGAAGCCATTTGTCTCTTGCCCACTTGATATAGATGAAGATCCCAACTCATGGACGAGAATGTGAAGGCGAGGACAACTGTCTCGTCTACCAAAATCTAGACTTCCATGTCTCCAATGCTACCATAGACTGAATCGCCAAAAGAGCAAAATCGGGTGCATCAGTAAAAGAAATCAGTTCACAAAGATGGATAAAAGCATTCCAAGAACTTTGAGTTTACCTCAAGTGCCAAGATTGTGCTGGAGTAGCCAAAGGTGGACCATAAGTATATTTCCGCTCTTTATATGCGGTACATTACTCTAACTTCACACTATTCTCCAGAGTACAAATTTGTCATGACCAGACAGCACTTTTTGAATTCCCATCTTTCGGTTTTTGGATTCCACAGAGCTCACATATTGGAGCTGGTGGCTGCAATAGTCTGCAAAACAGATCATCAGCTCCATGAAATCAAGGTAAAGTCTACATGACACGTGAAATCAAAAGTGGGGGAAGAGTGAAATCAACCTTATCGTGATTGAGAGTGTAACGCCCCGAGTTTCGTGAACCCGGATTGCCACGTCATCATCTTTTATAACTGATTTAATTAAAAAGTTTTGCGAAAAATAACTAAAATTTGAAACATCGCATTTATAACAGTAAAACCACGTCGGCAACAAAATTTATTTGATCACTTGCGGAGAATCATTTAAACTTCAGAAATCGAGTTTGAAATAACGGATACAACAAAAAAAGTTCATAATGCGTAAATTTAAAAAGTAAATAACTTCAACTATTAATTTATGTCACCACTGTCCATCACACTCGGCCATCTCCGAAATCTGCAAATATTGTTAAAATAACGGAATGAGTATTTCAATGAAATACTCAGTAGATTCATTGTCGATAATTAATTTACAGAATAATTGAACATGTAATCATGCAATTTATATCGTGACATCATCATCATAGATTCATTTTCTTGAAAATCATAGGCTATTTAAAAACATAGGTGGTGTGGGTAGTCTCGTCTCGTACATTTAAGCACATAAGTTATGCATAACATTCTCATCTTATCTCATAAGAGATACTCGTCTCTTCTCATGTAATAAAGCATATAAGTTATGGCAAGCATAATATCATATATCTCATACGACATATTTTCATCTCATGCATCAAAGCATATAAATCATGTAAATTCACATAATACATGCAATTATAATTTAAACTAATTAATGCTGGCGAGTCTACCTCAGATTATCTCGAGTCTCGTAAAAAGTGGAGCGGGGAGTAATCTCAATCTAATAATCGTCCGTACGTTTCGTCTAGCCAAGATAGAAATTATGTTTGAATTAGTATTTCGAACTATATGGACTTAATTGAAAACTATTGAAACTGAAAATAAAAGTGTAAGGGCTGAAATTGACCTTTTAAGAAAATCAGGGACTTAATTGGAAATCTATTAAAACAGAAAATAAAATTAAGGACTGAAATTAAACTTTTAGAAATCAGGGACTAAACTGTAAATCTATTAAAACTGAAAATAAAAACTAAAATGGCTGAAATAGATTTTTTATAAATTAGGGACTTAATTGAACATTTACTTAAATTGAAAATAAAATTTAGACATAACCATAAACTAAATAACTATTTTTGAACAAATAAAATTGACTAATAATTTAAAAGTTAAAAAAAAAATGTTTTATCTCTTCGATTTCTCTTGACAGTCGCATCACCATCCCGCCACTGTTCCAATCAATACGAATTAACCTGTAAAATTTTCGTAAGAGTGAGTATTTAAAAATACTCAATAAGATACATGCAATTTCTATATACAATTATATGTAATAAAATAAAAACTTCATACCACTCTTCTCTTATGGAGTACATCGGTGATCAAGCGACACACTCATCTTAGGTCATCTTAAATTCCCCTAAAATCTCATATCTCTAAATGAAGAACCCGAAAGTCCACTAACAATCCATGCATATATTACTGAATATAAAATCATAAAGAATCTAACAACTTGCACAAAAAGTATCTTACCTTGATTGATCAAACGAGCTTTTGATTAAAAAAAACTAGAAATTTGCAGCTGCTTTATATGAAAGTTGTAGTGTAAAATTTTTTTGTGGTGAATTGTAGGACAATTGCACACTGCTTATAAAAAAAATATAGTAGTTTAGTCTTGGTACAATTAAGATGGAAAAATCGTATTTATCATATTCGATAAGAATTAAATTTTTAGTAAACAGATCATAATATGACACGTGTACATAAAATCTATCACAATAAAAAGTTGATTCTAATCTCAATACGTGATAGTGATAGCAACTTTTGACTCCAAAAAAAATTATCCTACATCCATTCCTTAGATACACATAACTATCATCATCCAAATTCAATTTGATTTTAAAAAAATAAACAAATAATTTTACAATTTCTTTGAATTTCAAAATCTTGAGACTAACTTATCTAAATTAACTTTTTCTCGAGCCTAATTTACATGATTAATTATGAGCTATCCAACGAATACCATATTGATATACTTATCATCGCTTTATCAAATTTCAAATATTTGACCCAATAACATAAGAATTTAAAACATACTTCTCTTTAGTCCCTCAATTTTCAAAATAATAAAATATAATATATAGAACAAATAAATTTTCGAGATTTTACAATCTCCCCTCTTTAAAAAAATTTTGTCCTCAAAATTACCTCAACTATTTGAAAAATTCTAAATACTTGACTATTGACATAATTATAATATATCATAACATAAATAAATAAAACTCATAATCATGATAATAGAATGACAATTCACTTATACCTCGGAATCAATTAGGGAGTGTATCGAGCGCCAAGTGCCAAGAATTATTTATAACATTGTAAATTTAAAACTTTAAAAAATTTACATTATCTTTAAACTCCTAAAATTTATGAAAATACCCAATTTTTCACAAATAAATAGGATTTTCTCAAAATGAAAGTTTCTAGAAAATAAAATATTGTTAATTTGAATAACGCTCAATCAAAAGGCTTCCAAATGATGAGGAGGAGGAGGAGGAGGAGAGGAGGGGGGGGGGGGGNTATCGTTTTTCGTCTTATTAATTTGAATAACGTTCAATCAAAAGACTTCCAAATGAGGAGGGGGTCACAAACGAACCGCTTAAATCCTAAACTTCTTAGATGATTTAGATCTTCTTGACAAAGCCTATCAATCTTGCGAGTACTCAAATCAAGAAAACTCAAATGATAAATAAAACTTGAGACTTAAAATATGAATTTTCTAATTTATAAATTTTAAAATACCACCCAAATGTTAGAACTAAACATACAAACATGTACAATCATAATTTGAAGTCACGTTTAAATAAAATATTATTTAATTACTTAAAACAATTATTAATACATTTATTTAACAAAAGAAAAGAAAATTCTATAAAACAAATATTTTTTTTTCGAAAAACAGCATGTTGTTCACATGAATAGTAATTTTTTTTATAGTTTAACAAAGTTTACAGGAAAGTAAAATCTGGCTCTGAACGTAATGCCCCAAAATTTCACTAACACTGTGGTGTTACCAAAAATTCAATTTTTTTGCGGAACAATAGAATAATATTCTTTAAATAAAAATAACTGGAATATCCATAATTTCAAACATGAAAACATAACCACAAGCTAAATAACTATTTTTAAACAAATAAGACTGACTAATAATTTAAAAGTTAAAAAAAAAAATGTTTTCTCTTCAATTCCTCTTAGCAGTCGCATCACCATCCCACCACTGTTTCAATCTATCCGAATTAACCTGTAAAATTTTTGTAAAAGTGAGTATTTAAAAATACACAATAAGATACATGCAGTTTCTATACACACAATTATATGCAATAAAATAAAAGCTTCATGCCACTTTTATCTTATGGAGTACATCGATGACCAAACGACACGGCAATGCATTTAGGTCCAGGAGGAAGCAACAATCCAAGACGAGCTCACCTATCAGCTGCAGACGATGCAGTTTGGCGAAGAGATGAATGAGGAGGCTTGGTCAAGAATCCCCCAAAATGCCTTCCAGGAACATCAAATCCCTCACCTGTTCCACTTATTCCCTTATTCATGAGGTCTTCGCATTCCTAGGCATGTCATTATCACATTAATTTAATACGAAGTAAAGAAGGGTACCAAACCAAAGACGCAAACAGAGTACACTAGGAAAACTAGAAACTCGAATGTCCAGGATTTCTTGTAGCTTGCAATCAGAAATCCAAACAATAATCGTGATGGGTACAACTTTCCAATATGGAAGCAAGTTTTTAACAGATCATTTTCCTAAATTTTTCAGTCCCTATAAAAGTAGATCAGAATCATATCACTACTAATATTCCGCTCCCATATTTTGAATATTCTAGCATAATGCTGCCGTCCTAACTATAACAGTAGAAAGAACCCGAATAACTTCCCAACATCTATCAGCTTCATTTGGTTCAGTAAAAAATGTATTAACAGCTTCTTACTTTCTAATTTCATCCCAGAGCTTGTAAAATTAGTGATGATTTTCCATAAGATCATCAAGGGTAATCTTTCCACAGTTACCTGGAAGATTTCTTTCTTCGAAACCATACCCATGTACTTGAGTTTGTAAATAACTCACCGCCATATACCTAGAGGAAGGAAAACCAAATCAAAAAAGAAAAATGCAACTCTTTTGAAGAAATTACAATATATTCACCTTCTCAACAAATCCGTAACACATTTGAGGTTTTCTCTCGACAAGAACATTGTGTTGGGAAATTATTTAATTTCCCGTGATGGGCCGACATATGTAATTAACTGTGTATAAATGCTATCTTAAAGTTAAGCCCAATATTAAAGTGATCTAATAAAGAATTAAGATTATAAAATTTAAAATTCTTGGTCACTACAGAGATACTCAGATACAAATTATGAACGGTGACATACGAGGTTGTCCAGTGTCTTTCTAAGGGCGCTTCCAATGTTCAGCGAGTATGCAAAAAAAATAGCAAAACTCGCATAGAAAACCTCATTTCCACAAATTTCAGAACCCCTCATCATATTGAAACAGTTGTTCATGTAAACAGGTCATAGTAATCATAGAATTCACTTCTCCAAAATTAAGAAATGCATTTTCCATAAATTATAAATTGCTCTCGTGCTTCAGCATTATTTTGTCATCAATGACAAATGTTCAAATCATCATTCTTAAATGAATTGATTGAGGAAAACATTTTATCTAATTCGATAGATGCAGTATCCCATGCTACAGCTACAGCTACTTAATAGCATAATTCAGATAGTCAGACTTTCAGGAGAATCATAATAGCTGAAAATGGAAGAGGTTTTGCCTTATAAAGCTAAAGGGTAAAGAATACAAAAGAATGCATGAAGAGACATTAAAAAGTCGACACTCACCAGGTTAAACAAAGTGCACATCGTACATTCCCACATTTTGAAACCATCCTCATCAGGAACCAATCCATGACTATAGATAGATTGAGGAGTTGAAGCTTCTTCAGATGCATTCACTGAATAGATCATGGATTACTTTCTGATGACTGCATCCCTGACTTGTCCTCCATGCTACAAATATTATTATCCAACATTTTATCATGACAAGAGTTGGAGCCACATTCTGAATTAACCTTGGTCAAATCTATAGAAGTGGATTCTAGGTGATTATCCATGGAACAGGGATGATGAAACATTGTCTGATGCACGACTTCTTTTTCGAGATAACATGTTCATACCCTGTTTGTAATGCTCCAAAATTTCACAAACGTTAGAGTGTTACCAAAAATTCAATATCTTTGCAAAACGATAAAATAATATTCTTTAAATAAAAATAACTGGAATATCCATAATTTCAAACATGAAAACATAATCACAAACTAAATAACTATTTTTGAACAAATAAAACTGACTAATAATTTAAAAGTTTTAAAAAAATGTTTTATCTATTCGATTTCTCTTGACAGTCGCATCACCATTCAGCCAATGTTCCAATCAATACGAATTAACCTATAAAATTTTCGTTAAGAGTGAGTATTTAAAAATACTCAATAAGATACATGCAGTTTCTATACACAATTATATGCAATAAAATAAAATTTTCATACCACTATTCTCTTATGGAGTACATCGGTGACCAAACGACACACTCATCTTAAGTCATCTTAGATTCCCCTAGAATCTCATATCTCTAAATAAAGAACCCGAAGGTCCACTAACAATCCATGCATATATTACTGAATATAAAAGCATAAAGAATCTAACAATTTGTACAAAAAGTATCTTATCTTGATTAATCAAACGAGCTTTTGATTAAAAAAAATTAGAAATTTGCAACTGCTTTATATGAATGCCGTCGTGTCAAATTTTTTTGTGGTGAATTGTAGGACAATTGTACACTGCTTATAAAAAAAATATAGTAAGTTAGTCTTGGTACAATTAGGATGAAAAATTCGTATTTATCATATTCGATAAGGATTAAATTTTTAGTAAACAAATCATAATATGACACGTGTACATAAAATCTATCACAATAAAAAGTTGATTCTAATCTCAATGCGTGATAGTGATAGCAACTTTTGACTCCAAAAAAAAAATTATCCTACATCCATTCCTTAGATACACATGGCCATCATCATCCAAATTCAATTTGATTTTAAAAAAATAAACAAATAATTTTACAATTTCTTTGAATTTCAATATCTTGAAACTAACTTATCTAAATTAACTTTTTCTCGAGCCTAATTTACATGATTAATTACGAGTTATCCACTGAATACCATATTGATATACTTATCATCGCTTTATCAAATTCCAAATATTTGACCCAATAACATAAGAATTTCAAACATACTTCACTTTAGTCCCTCAATTTTCAAAATAATAAAATATAATATATAGAACAAATAAATTTTCGAGGTTTTACAATCTCCCCTCCCTAAAAAAATTTTGCCCTCGAAATTACCTCAACTATTTGAAAAGTTCTAAATACTTGACTATTGACATAATTATAATATATCATAACATAAATTTAAAAAAAAAAAAAAAACTCATAATCATGGTAATAGAATGACAATTCACTTATACCTCGGAATCAATTGGGGAGTGTCGAATATCGAGCGCCAGGTGCCAATAATTCTTTATAACATTGTAAATTTAAAACTTTAAAAAATTTACATTATCTTTAAACTCCTAAAATTTATAAAAATATCCCATTTTTCACAAATAAATAGGATTCTCTCGAAATGAAAGTTTCTAGAAAATAAAATATTATTAAATTTGGAAACTTTTTGAAATATCGTTTTTCGTCTTATTAATTTGAATAACGTTCAATCAAAAGACTTCCAAATGAGGAGGGGGTCACAAACGAACCGCTTAAATCCTAAACTTCTTAGATGGTTTAGATCTTTTTGACAAAGCCTATCAATCTTGCGAGTACTCAAATCAAGAAAACTCAAATGATAAATAAAACTTGGGACTTCTTAAAATATGAATTTTCTAATTTATAAATTTTAAAATACCACCCAAATGTTAGAACTAAACATACAAACATGTACAATCATAATTTGAAGTCACGTTTAAATAAAATATTATTTAATTACTTAAAGCAATTATTAAATAATTTATTTAACAAAAGAAAAGAAAAATCTGTAAATTTTTTTTTTTTTTGAAAAACAGCATGTTGTTCACATGAATAGTAATTTTTTTTTATTGTTTTACAAAGTTTACAGCAAAGTAAAATCTGGCTCTGAACGTAATGCCCCAAAATTTCACAAACACTGTGGTGTTACCAAAAATTCAATTTTTTCGCGGAACAATAGAATAATATTCTTTAAATATGAATAACTGGAATATCCATAATTTCAAACATGAAAACATAACCACAAGCTAAATAACTATTTTTTAACAAATAAAAGTATAAAACTGACTAATAATTTAAAAGTTTAAAAAAAAAATGTTTTCTCTTCAATTCTTCTGGCAATTGCATCACCGTCCCACCACTGTTTCAATCGATTTGAATTAACTTGTAAATTTTTTGTAAGAATGAGTATTTAAAAATACCCAATAAGATGCATACAGTTTTTATACACATAATTATATGCAATAAAATAAAAGCTTCATGTCACTCTTATCTTATGGAGTACATCGGTGACCAAACGACACGGCAATGCATTTAGGTCCAGGAGGAAGCAACAATCCAAGACGAGCTCACCTATCAGCTGCAGGGAATGCAGTTTGGCGAAGAGATGAATGAGGAGGCTTGGTCAAGAATCCCCCAAAATGCCTTCCAGGAACATCAAATCCCTCACCAGTTCCACTTATTCCCTTTTTCATGAGGTCTTCGCATTCCTAGGCATGTCATTATCACATTAATTTAATACGAAGTAAAGAAGGGTACCAAACCAAAGATGCAAACAGAGTACACTAAGATAACTAGAAACTCGAATGTTCAGGATTTCTTGTAGCTTGCAATCAGAAAGTGAAAAGATAAGGAACAAGAAACAAAAACGCAATCTATAATGATGTGAAATAGAAATCCAAACAATAATCGTGATGGGTACAACTTTCCAATATGGAAGCACGTTTTTAACAGATCATTTTCCTAAATTTTTCAGTCCCTATAAAAGTAGATCAGAATCATATCACTACTCATATTCCGCTCCCATATTTTGAATATTCTAGCATAATGCTTCCGTCCTAACTATAACAGTAGAAAGAACCCGAATAACTTCCCAACATCTATCAGCTTCATTTGGTTCAGTAAAAAATGTATTAACAGCTTCTTACTTTCTAATTTCATCCCAGAGCTTGTAAAAACTGGCATTGTGAGGGTCATGAACATTGTGGCAGAGCTCATGGAGCATTGTATTAAATGGGTAAAATTGATTATCTCTATTTGGTCTCCTAAGCCTCAAATTTACATGTATACCTTTTCCTACCGTCAGAGCCCGGAGAGCCAAGTTTTTTGAACTGCAAGGCTATATCTTGCCACAATCCACATTCGTAGTAAAAATGATCCACACGAGCAAACAAAGGAAGTTCGAGACACAAGATTTTCAAATATGAGCAAAGCAGTGAAAATTGATTACAAAAATACTAATCATCTATAGTCATTCTTTTCCTTAAAAGTTACAGCATATTCAACATAGACACTGAAGCCATTTTGTTGGATGTTAAAAAAAAGTGACACACTGAAAAAATTCACTGTTTTCGGTGTAGTAATCAAGGCAGTTGAAAGCATTATTTTAATCAACAAGTCGAACACATCATGACTTCAAAGGAAAATAGTCGAACAAATCAAAATCATCAAAGGTAGATAGATATAATCATATAAAGAAGCTAAGTTATCTATGAACAACCAATTCAACTTCACATGTAGGTTTTAATCAACAAACGACTCTATAACATCCAACCGATACATACAATCCACCTTAACGAGAAAACAAGTGATAGTAACAAATCTACACGAAAAATTATCAAATTTAGTATTTGAATTCATTCCAATGGTGCAATATACTGAATTTGATTGAGGGTGAATCTGACCAGTACCTCCAGGATCATCAAAATCACAAGCCATGTGCCTTGACATCCTCCTCTATTCTCCACCACATACATCTCAAATCACTCGGCAAAAACCTATCAAATGGAACAAATATCAATGTAGGAATTCCAATAATTTCCAGACAAAAGCAACAAGTAGTATTCCAAAACTTTACCCTCCACTTGCAATTTCAATGTATGGACTGCAAAAACGAATGGAAGCTTATGCAAAGAGTCTTCATATTTACATAATTGTGCGTTGTTCAAATTTACTGAATTGATCAATATACTTCATAAGGATGCTTCCACAACTTATATAAAAGACATATGATGTTTATTTAAATACATACGTCATTAAATGTAAATGTAATTTCCAATTGAGACATTTTGTTAAACACCTCGAAGGTGTCTTAGAAAATCAAAGGGAAAGAATGTACCATTTAGTTCTGGAGCTAATCCCAAATTTAATGACATTTTTTATGCATTTATACACAAACTCTATCATAAAGAAATTGATTAAACCTTTGAGATGCAAAGATTGCTATGCTTCTTTATCAGTTTCTGGAGGGACCTCAGTCATATAATCTTTTCTTTCCTACAAATGCCCATGATTGGACCTTCTGACTCCTTGTCGTCACTTTTGAATGTGAGACGAAATAGTTTGTGGATACCAAGAATAATGTCATTGTTTGCTTAAATTTGAAGACCCCCATCGAAAATTAGTGATGATTTTCCATAAGATCATCAAGGGTAATCTTTCCACAATTACGTTTAAGATTTCTTTCTTCGAAACCATACCCATCTCCTTGAGTTTGTAAATAACTCACCGCCATATACCTAGAGGAAGGAAAACCAAATTAAAAAAGAAAGATGCAAAACTTAATGCAACTCTTTTGAAGAAATTACAATATATTCACCTTCTCAACAAATTCATAACACATTTGTGGTTTTCTCTCTACAAGAACATTGAAGTCGAAATCGAAATCGAAGTCGGAGTTGGAATCAGGAACGGAGGTTTCTCGATAGTTATCTGATTTAGGGATTTCCCTTTCTGATTTGGAGCTTGTTTGGGAGGGATTTTAATCCAATTAAAATTGAAAATATAGTAGTTATTGGATCTTACTCATCTAATAAAAGTCAACAATAACGGTTAGTTTTTCAATTTTAATCTGATTTTAACCTCTACTAAACAGACCCTTGAGTTTTTGTTGTGGGTTGAGATTTTGAACATAATTAATACGGTAATAATAATTTTAATTAGTTTTAAAGTATTAATCTGATACTTAATTTTTATAGAGTATTGTACCTAATTTTCCCCTATTCAAGCAAATGGGGTCATCCATTGGATCCAGCCCACCACAAACAGAATCCTTAAGGGTAACACGTGGACGAGACCAAATGTACAGTACAGTACAGTACTGTACCATTCTTGGTACAACTGCACTAGCACGAATTATTTCATTCTTCTGTTAGCCAGATAAAGTCATTGCTTATCGTTAGATATCATTTCAAAACTTTTCTCCAGTACCGGGGAGAATAATGGGTGGTGGATAGCTGATGCTTGGATGCCTTTAAGAATTTGTACGTGGGTAAAAAATTTGCATCGTCATCCAATTGACGCGGAAAAATAATTTCAAAAGAATCACAAAAGAAAATTTACCTACCACGTGGTAAAAAACTATAGGAATAGTATATAGTGACCAAATTGAAAAAATAAAATAAAAATTAACTCTTAACAAATAAATTAGAAGGAATAAAAGTCTAGTGACTAAAATGAAAGGGAGGTTATTTTAACACTACAATTTTTATTTGTTATACCATATTTAAAATGCAATTAAGCGCCTCAATTTTTGTTCATCGTAGCAAATATTTTTTTTAACTTTTTCCCGTCAAACTTTTATCTTCAACATTCCATTAATTAATATGCCTCGTATTTGATGATGATTTATAATAAAATATTTTGTTTTGATACTTCGAAATGAGGAAACATATTTTTTTCGCACTTTTTATTTATTTTCTAAAAACATGATAGAAAAATAGTCGTTTTACGTCATTTCGATGAACTTTCAGACATAAATCTATTATCAAATACAAAATGTGTTGATTAATGGGAAATTCGAGGATGAGAATCACAAGAAAAACTGTAAGGGAAATAATGCTACAATAAGTAAAGATTAAGGACATTTAGCCCCTGTTTGATACACATTCTTTCAAAATTTATTTTTTAACCTCACATTTTTTAATAAAATAATATGTTTATCACATCAATAATTTTTCCTTACTTTTGAACAACATATCACAATTTAAAATACATTCTTTTCTCAATAATATCTATCAAACACACCTAAGTACAATTAAAACGTGGTGCAATAAATAAAAATTGTAGTGTGAATATAATTACCCAAAATGAAATTTTGCTCAAAGTTAGTGTTCATTTAACCATAAACAAGAAAAAGATCGAGGCAAAGCTGAAACTCGAGACTATAAAGTAATTGATCGGTTATAATGTCGTTAGTTCACGTTTGGATTTAATTGCTCGTACATGAAATATGAACTCAATCATGCTGATGGAGTGACCGATTTTGCAATATTACTTAACTGTAATGGCGAAATAGGTCAAAAATATATTTCAAGGACCAATTTGAAATTTATTTTGAACTTTAAAGAGCATCTGTGAAATTAACTCTCATGTTTATCAACCTTGGAAGTAAGGATCAGGGTAAACAGAGCAATTCGAAAATTGCAACTAATCGTGAGGTTTTTTGTTTTTACTTTCAAGAATTGCGTTTTATTTCGAAGATCTTAGGGCCCGTTTGATATCACCCAATTTTTTAGGGAGGTTGAAATTCGTTTTCCATTTTCCACATTTTAGGTTATTTGATAGATTAAATTTTTCATGAAATTCATTTTCCAGATTTACCTCATTTTCCACCAAATTCTTGGTTTTCAAGGAAAACCAATTCTCACCACCTTGGTGAGAATAGGTTTGCCAGGCTTTTTTATTTTTTGACAATGAAAATCAATTTTATGGATAATTGTAAAAAAAAAAAATTCCCTTTAATGGACAATTTCCATGGAAAACAAAGTCAAATGAATACCAAAAGATCTAAAATTTCAACATTTTCCAGGTAAAAAATTATATCAATCAAACACAATTAATTACAATTCTGAGTAAAACAAATTTTAGGCAATTCAATTCCCTGTAATTCATTTTCTTTCCATCCCAATTTCCATATTTGTAATCAAACTCACCTTTGGGTCCGTTTGATTGCAAGGGTGGAAAATGGGTGAAAAGAAAATGTTTTACAGGGAAAAGATTTTTTTAGAAAATGTTTTTTTGGGAATTGTAATTAATTGTGTTTGATTGGTATAATTTTCTACCTGAAAAATATTGAAAGTT